GACACACAGACTCCCACAACAGCTTCTTCTTCCCAGCTGCTGCTTCGTCACAACCCAGTGTCTCTCAGCATCTCTCTCTCACCACACAGGCATCACATATTTATACAGTACAGCCCCTCCTCCTGATGTCCCGCCTTCCACTCCCCATAGGATGGAACTTTCCCTCCAAACCCATGACAGACAGGTAACATCAGTGCTGTATGTAACAGGAAGGAAGGAAGGAATGAATGAATGAATGAATGAATGAATGAATGAATGAATGAATGAATGAATGAATGAATGAATGAATGTGTGGTGCAAAAAGAATTTATAGCAGGTTGAATTTAGAACAAGGCATATTGTACTGGCCCCATAGTAGATAGTCATGTTCTCTTGAGACAACGTGTAAGCCAAATCTACAACTCAAACTTTAAGCAACACCCATCTGTACTCTGGTAACTCTACAATCTCCTGATCAGTAAGTGTACAGAGTAAGAAAAGGTAACACTAGCCACTGAACAGAATTATATTTCAGTGTCCCAGAGTGTGGGAAATGATTAATCAGCACTTAACATGAAGGAAAATGTTCTATCAGCTTAAATAAGTTTGCCAGTTCAGTATTTCTGATAACATTGCTGTCCTCTGCATGGTACGGTGTGGCACTAAACATTAACTCTTATATTGTTTGATCTTCAGGCCCCTGTTCTTAAGAGATAAAAGGGAAAAAATCTTTCCCCCACCCTGTCTATTCAGGGTAGCTAAACCTGAGAGTCGATGGGATGTTGTTCTTGCTGTTGTTATTTTGATTGACATACCACCCCACAGTGCTAAAGCACTCTCCGTTGTTCTTGCTGTTGTTGCTAAAGCACTCTCTGAGCAGTTTTCAAGGAACACTTTGCCCACCCCAGCAAGCTGGGTCCTCATTTTACGGACCTCAGACAGATGGAAGGCTGAATCAACCTTGAACCAGCTACCTGAACCTGTCAGGATTGAACTCAGGTTGTGAGTAGAGACCTGACTTGCAGTATACTGCAGTTTACCCTCTGCACCACAGGGTTCACTGGACAAGTACTGGCCCCATGGGAGTGTGGCTCTGTCTCATTAAAGCTTTGACTGTCACAAATCAGTTTAGCCTTTAAGATGCCACAAAACCCCTCTTTCCCCACCCCCTGCATCAATATATTAACTTACTCCTCTTCCTTTTCAGTTTGAAGAAGATTTTTTGGAAACGAGGGAGCAATATGAACAGCTATTAAAAGGTAAGGCTGTGAAACTCCTCATCCACTCCCCGGAGTGGGAATGAAACAAATGTCCGCCCTGGGAAGAAACGAGGCAGATGCTACTGGGAACACAAGTCAAATAGCACTTCATAACCAGTGCCATTCATAACTTTGAACGGGGCTCAGAAACAAACCTGTAGCCAGTGAAATTGCAGACATGAGACACTGGTTTAAATAAAACAGGAACAGCTTCCCTGGAGTTAGATGGAAAAGAGAGAAAGAGCTGGGTGCCATCAGCGCAACTCAAAAACTCCAGGTGACCCCTCTCAGCAATTTCATTTAAATACTAAATGGGCTGGGGGACAAAACAGAACCTTGAGGGGTACCCCACGGGTCAGTGGCCAGGTTGTCAAAGAGGAGCCCCCCGCCCAGCACCACCTCTACAGAAGACCTGAGCCACTGCGAAACCATGCCTCCAAGTCCTGTCCCAGAGAGACGGCCCAGAAGGATACCACGTCAATGGTATCAATGGTACAGGAGAACTGACAGGGACATTATTATTATGTGCACTGGCTGCACAATGGCAGGGTTACACTGGGCAATTGCCCTAGGCACTGATAAGGCAAAAGAAATCAGCACCAAAATGAACGCCAAGCTTTGCTCCATTAAGAGAACAGGACAGGCAAAATGTGTCCCGTGGACTGCATGTGGTTCTCATGTTCATTTTAAGGTCCCCGTGGACCCAAGCCATCTGCTATGCCAAAAACGGGGTTTCCCCCACTATAAGCAGCTTTGGGGATGGAGTGCAGCAAGGGAGAGAAAAGAAAAACACCCCAAAAGAGACAAACAACAAACTAAAACTACAAGTTGGTAACCAGTCACTTCTAGTCTTATTATTATGTCTCTAAATCTTCTATTTTGTGTAACCTCTTGCCATTTGAAGCCCTTCTGGGTCTGATGCTGATGGCAGCAGTTACTTAGGGGAGAAGTTGGCCCCCATGCCCACCGAATCTGCCCACCCTTGATTGAGGACAGCCTACACCAAAGGGACCGGGGTGTGGGATAGGATCGTATCCAGACTCACACACATTCTTCTTCTGCCACTGAAAACAGTGCTGCAGAAATTGTTGATCTGTAGTGGAACTGGGATGAGGTTTAACTCTTTCTTTTCTAATGGAAAGAGACCATCTGGTGCAGGAGCAGCTAAGGCTGAAGGTGATGCTTCTTGTCTCAACAGATGAATTCCTGCTCTTCCAACAAGTGCCGATGGTTGAAATGGATGGGATGAAGCTAGTGCAGACCCGGGCCATCCTCAGCTATATAGCTGCAAAGTACAATCTCTACGGGAGGAACCTGAAGGACAGAACCCTGTATTGTATCTCTAAGTATTTTCCATGAATATACCGAACATGTCTGTTTGTTTGTACATCTGGGTACCTTGAAACAATGGGTAAAAGCCTGTTGTGTAATTTTGTGCCAGAGTAACCTGGATCAGAAGGAGCAGTTTGAAAGCATGTAAATGCAAGTAGATAAATAGGTACCACTACCGTGGGAAGGTAACGGCTTTGCATGTCTAGTCACTTTGGCCACATGACCACGGAAACTGTCTAAGGACAAAACGCTGGGTCGGAAACAGGGATGAGCACTGCCCCCTAGAGTCGGACATGACTGGATTTTAGAGTGTGTGTGTGTGTGTGTGTGTGTGTAATTGTTCAGCAAAAGAACTGAATTCCAATTTAGCAAGACTCCACATTTCAGTGGCTGATGTGAGGGGAGATGCAGGGTGAGATCAAGAACAGACTAGGCAAAGTGGGTGGCAGTACATGCCATTCTTACCAATGTACACATTTTCCCAACCATATAAAGCACAGTTCAATTTTTCGCAGTTCTTCTCATGAGCAAGTTTCTTGTAGAACTTCTTTGAGGCACATAAGCCACTGCTCAATTTTATGTATGTTTATTAATATAGTACCTAAAGTTGAAACACTTTTAACATAGTATGGCCTGCCCGGGAATCTCGTAAGCTAGATGGACCACCTCTCATGGTACAAATTCAGCTGGTGAATTGTACGTTGGATATTCTGCATCTTTGGTGTACTGGATGTCAGTTAGAGTGTTAAGAACTGCCAGACATCCTCTTTTCTACTAGCAAGAAAACAGCAGCAAAAGTTGGATTTATCACCAAGAGATCTCACGTTTGTTAATTTTACCATATGAAACGGATGAAATTTAGAAAGGTGAGGTCACTTCTCTGTTTTCTTTTCAGAATTGATATGTACGTGGAAGGAATAACAGACCTGATGGGAATGATCAGGGTTCACTTCAAACTGCCTCCAGAAGAAAAGGAAAAGAATCTTAGTTTAATTATTGAGCGAGCCACAAAGAGGTATTTCCCAGTTTATGAGAAGGTACGTTTGCAACAAGCTTTTGTCTTAAAGCATATTGGGCTGAAAAGGCCATACCCAGGAGAGCTTCTGATACCAAACTGTAGCATTTTTAGCTGGAGTTTTGATGAGCAAAAAAAAGTCTGATAATGAAGAAAGCTTATCTGACAGGTCATTTTTAGCTGGAGTTTTGATAAGCAAAATAATAATAATAATAATAAATAAAAAAATAGAAAATCTGATAATGAAGAAAGCTTATCTGACAGGGAGGAAGTCTGAACTATGTGGGAACTTTACCTTTAGACTCAGACCACATCTAGATACACATTGGTCCACGTGTTTGGTTCATTGCTCGGCTGGAACGGTCTGCTTCCCCCCCTCCAGTGTCCACATGATGAGTGGACCAGTTTGCCCTAATTTGCCTCCAGAACATCCCAACCCACATGTTTCTGAACCCTTGCCAGGGGCTTCTACTTCATTGGTGTGGGTTGGTGCACTTTAGTCCATTCTCAGCATGTGCGGTTGCTAGCAATTGACTAAAATCCATCCCCAGCCTTCCAGTTTGAATTTACAGTATAGTGAAATGATTAATTAACAAGCCAGGATATATTGGCAAAATGAACACTTAAGAAAGGAAAGAAAGACATAATGGGCTCCCTCTCCCTTTTTTGTCCTCATTTATTGGTGGGAGATTTGTCTGTCATGTGCAAAAGAGAGGTGGAAAAGGCGAGTGGGGCTGGAAGGCAAAGGGCAAATGGGGAGATGCACATGGGTGCATGGACAGAGTTCCTACTCTTGTTCCTCTGAAGGTGCCGGCCACAGAGACTGGCGAAACGTTAGGAAGAACAACCTTCAGAACATGGCCAAAGAGCCTGAAAAACCCACAACAACCATTAGATCCCGGCCATGAGAGCCTTCGAGAATACATGTTTGTTTGTTTGTTTGTTTGTTTGTTTGTTTGTTTGTTTGTTTGTATACATCTCCAGGGCTAGAATGGCCCATGCTTGGTGCTGAAAATTGAGAATTGGCCACTTAGATGTGACAAAGTTACCCATCCTATTTTTAGAGAATTTTGTGTACAGTAATTCTAACTCTTAGTACGATGCATCTCACCAGTATCTTATCAAAGTATTTTGGCATCTTCTGTCCCATCATTATATATTTGTGAGAATTCTTTTATTTTATCATTTACAGTAGGCTGATAGGCAGGAGCAAACAGGGTAGAAGAAATGTTGAGGCTCATTCTCTGCCCAGCAGGTTGTTTGATTGCTTTTTCAACGTATGTAATGCAAAGCACTCTCTGGGTGGGTCACAGCAATAGAAACAATGGAAAACCACACGGTGCAATGCACAGACATGTACCATCAAAGAATAAAATCAATCAGCAAAACCACTGAACCAACCAAACTTCTCCCCAGACAAGCAAACAATTCAAAATGACATTGGACATCACAGATTACTAATATAAATGAAAAGCACCTTTGAAAGACTCCGTTTTTACTAACTTCTTAAAAAATGAGAGGGAAGGCGCCTGGCCAACGTCTGCTGGAAATGTATTCCAGAGGTGGGAGGGGCACAACTGGAAAAGTCCAAAAGAACATTTTGGAGCTGTTCACTCTTTTGGCATCTTTCAGTGGTACCCTTTTTAACATCATGGGCTGGGAAGAGCAGGTGGGACAAGCTGCTGCTGTTTTGTAGGAGAGACAATGCTGCCTGGTATCAATGTCCTGAACAGCTTAGGGCTTTATAAGTGATGACCAGCACCTTGCACTGAGCACGGAAACTAACAGGAAGACAATACAGATACATGGTCATGACTTTGAGATACATGGTGTCCCACAACCCCAGTTCCTCTGTTTGTTCTTCCACACACCTCAGGTTCACTTTCGGGTATGACATTTACTTTTCAACCCTTTTTGCTGCCACCAGAGGATTTATTCCTCACTCTATCAAATATGACTCTTAAATCAGTGTTATTCAATAAAACAATGTTTATTTAAGTGTTTATTAGTAAATCATATAAAGTAAATCATGGATGGTCGTATTTTATTCATTCAAGAAACTGTGCTTTGATAACATTTGTATTTGTTTATGTATAATCATGTTAATCAAGGTATTTATTCATTTCTTATCTTGTTCTCTATCTCTCTATTCTTCTCTAACACAATATTGTTCCTAACTGCCTAAACTATTTCTCTCAAACTCATATCCTTAACTGAAGTCCCTAACTCTAACTCATATCCCTAACTCTAACTTCTAACTCTAACTGATCTTTAACTGTCTTCCATTCTTCTTATATTTCCTTAGTTTAGTTCCGCCCTCCTCTACAACCATTGGCTCCTGAATCAGGGTTCCATTGTGATGGACAGGAGTGGTTACTGACCTGTCCGTCACACATGGTCATGACTTTGAGATCAATCTAGCCACCTCAGTTTGGGCCTGCTGAAATTTCCATACTGACTTCAAGGGCAGCCCTATGTAGAGAGCATTACAGGAGTCTATTTTGGAGATTACCAAACCACGAGCCACTGTTTTTAGGCATTTCTTCTCCAGGGGTGCAGCTGGGCAAGCAAGTGGAGTAGATGAAAAGCGCTCTTGACCATAGCAGATATTTGCACCTCCACAGAGAGGGATGGGTCCAAGAGGACACCCAAGCTGCAAACTGCATCCTTCAGGTGGAATTGTAACCCAGGAAAATGTCCATCATCTCTTACTTCTCCTCCTCCTCCTCCCATTACCAATCTGGCCTCTGCCTAAAGGGAAAATGGAGAGGGGGGGGGCAGCAGTGGCTATATAATTTTTCTGTTTGCATGATGTGGTACATTTTTTCCCTATAGATTTTGAAGGATAACGGGCAACACTTTCTTCTCGGCAGTCAGTTCACCTGGGCTGATGTCCAGCTTGTTGAGACCATTCTAATGGCGGAAGAGAAAGAGCCTGCCATTCTCTCGGAGTTTCCTTTGCTGCAGGTAAACGAAGTACTTGGATGACAATGTACGTGACTGAGTGAATAACACAATAGAACTTCACAAGTGATGAATAGCAGCTTGAACAGCACCCTTCAAAACTGATACAAGACACATATTGCCAGTTAGAATATCTCTGAGACTTTTGCTGTATGGAAGATCTGCTCCTGGCAGAAATGAAAACTGCTAGAACTGGGGTGCTGATGTGGCTTGACTGACTGGCCTACTTTTTCAGAGATTTGTGGTGGGGAGGAATGGCTCTGTGGGCTATCATGGTGAATACCTGTGCTTCTAAATTTGACTACAGTGGATGTGCTTAGAATTATCTTGGGTATGTTAATTAATTATTGGGCATGTTAATGGATTAGGTATCGCTGATTGTACTCAGCCCTTTGAACAGTTGCCTTTTGGACAAGCACAACCAAGATTCTCTGCAGAATGGCCAGTGGGCATATTGGCAGGAGGATGCCAAGAGCTCAGTCGATAAAAGTGGCTTTTCAGAGCTGTGGTAATACTACCATGGTTTTCCTTAAGAAACCATAGGTAAAGGTAAAGGTTCCCCTTGACATTTAGTCAGTCGTGTCCGACTCTTCGGGGTGGTGCTCATCCCCGTTTCCAAGCTGTAGAGCCAGCTTTTGTCCGAAGACAGTTTCCGTTGTCACGTGGCCAGCACGGCTATACACAGAACGCTGTTTACCTTCCCACCGAGGTGGTACCTATTTATCTACTCGCATTTCCATGCTTTCGAACTGCTAGGTTGGTGAGGAGCTGGGAAAAAGCAACGGGAGCTCACTCCGTCACGTGGATTCAATCTTACGACTGCTCGTCTTCTGACCCTGCAGCACACAAAGGCTTCTGCGGTTTCGCCCGCTGCGCCACCATGTCCCTTAAGAAACCATAAGAATTGCCATTTGTGGTGTGGGACTGAAATTAGCTAATTGAGTAGTCAGTTATGGGGGAAATCCTTCCCTCTAAATATCTTAGAATTCATCCATGACATGTATTCAGGTTTAACATTGTTTACTTTTGTAATTTTTTGATTTTATTTCTAGGCTGCATGGTTAACCTTCTTACCATGAATGCTTTGTAAATTTTCTCATTTCAGGCCTTTAAAGCCAGAATGTGTGATGTTCCTACAATTAAGAAATTCTTGCAACCTGGCAGTCAAAGGAAGCCTCCACCTGATGAAAAATACTTGGCAACAGCAAAGAGAGTTTTCAATAGGAAATAAAAAGTAGACGTATGTTATGTGGTGTTAAATACCATCCAAGATACAGCCTATTTTATTCGTTTCTACAGATCTTCCTTGATATTTGTGAGCTGTTTTTCAGAAACCCTATTCATTTTCAGTTGAGTATCAAGATCAATGTAAAGCCACACTTTTTACATTCTGCATAAAAAATAAATAAATCTATGCACAGTCTGGGGAAATGTGTGAAAAAAATTAACATTCCAAACTAAACAATTCTTTAATGGGCAAGTGCTTACATAACAGAAGACTTTAATCTCTTCAGTTAACAACCTAGCTCTAAGGAAGACAAATGCTGGGAAAATAGCTTAGAATTTTAAGATTTGCAGCTTAAATTCATATTGACAAAAAAGGCACACCTGCTGTCTTACTGTATTTCCTCTATAGGTTGAATAGTTTGATAATGAATTATTAAAATGATTTTTCTGGTGACACTGTGAAGCACTGGAGAAGAAGAAGAAATGGACTTGGGGCCCACACTGTGTCCACATCTGGTTTAAGCTGAACATGGGGTTTCATCTATGGATAGTTAAACACGGTTGACGGAGGAGTTTGAAATCAGAAATGGGAAATCAAAAAATAACAAGTGGGGAAAATTCTCCAGATAGTTGTCATGAATCATACAGAACTGGGATGGTGATACAGACAGCTATGCACAGGTGAACTGATTAACACATGTACTGAGGTAAAAAGCCTTTGTCCCTGTTCAAGCCACACAAAAGAGAGACGAACCTCCTGATGTATTCATGTTCAGCTGTTCATTCACGTGGTGAATTTACTGCCTGTGTAAAAATAAAGAAGTGGCCCAGCTTGTTGCATCAGTATAGATCTTTTGAGCTTGAATACATTTACACCACAATAAACTCGTCACAACAGTCCCTCCAGTTTGGAGGATAATACGAATCTTTGCATTGGCTTAGATCATGTTTTCTTCCAGCCTCTTACTACTAATCCCTGTGACTCGGTCAGAGTGTGGATGTTGACTTTTGTTCTTTTTTTACTCATTAACATCTTTCCCAATATCAGATCTTGTCATTAAGAGCATGAAGGCCTGGGTCACACATAACCCCCTTGGCTGAGAAACTGCCTTGATTCCACAGCTTCTTATTCAGTCGTGCCAAAGACAAAGAAGATCTTAGTAAAGTTGCCAGGTCATCAGCACCTTATCCCTTGAAATTTCAGGTCCAAATCCTCAGAGCTAGAGAAAGGATCTCAAAAACCGATTAGTAGATGAAGATGCCAGTCACAGGCCCTGCTGAAGAGCTTGGGGAGAAAGGTCTCATGTTCTGGAGACACATTGCCCAGATCTATGATTCCCACCATATCTGAATCCCCAATAAAGCTTAGATTTGGAATTGGTCAGTTTCAAAGGGGTCCGTCTTCCCATCAATATCTCCTGATTAGAGATGGCCTGATTAACACCCACCTCCAGAACCCACCAGACCACCAACCACACGGCGAGCATGGCCAGCATCGTCTTCAGCACCCCAATCGCAGCAGTAGCCCAGCTGGCGCAGCCCTGCCTCCCTGCTCATCTGGCCACTCTGGCAAGGTGGCAGGAGGACAAGTCTCCCTGCTCAGCCATGGAGTGGCTGGGCAAGCAGGGAAGTGGAGCTGTGGCAACCTGTCAGTCAAAGGAAGAATAGCAGAAGGCTACTGCTGCAATTGGGGCACTCAAAATGATGCCGGCCACGTGCGCTGAGCACTGTGTTGTAAGTGGTCCAGTGGGTGTTAATCGGGTTGGTCACCTGTGCCGGTATATGAAGCCCCATCTCCACTCCTGATTGTCTCTGAGTCAGACCATGTATATCTTCCTATAAGGAATGAAGAATACAGTAGTTTGGGATGGGGAGGGGAAAAACCCAGATCACATATTTTTAAAAAGTTATGACAGGTTAGCTGTAGTTAGATTCTTTTTCCTTGGAGGGAGAAAGTGGAAGATAAGATCCCCAAAGTAGACTCAGTTTTTTCTCCTATATAAGTGAAAAAAACCATTTGTGTAGAATCTAGCGAACAAAATTTCGGCTCAGATTTTGCAGAAGGTTAGCACAGTAGATTAGGTATGCAACGACCCTTTCATTTTAAAGATGTTTTAAAATTGCTGCTTCAGGAAAATTCAATTAAATATTAACAAAACCGTTGTAACAATGTATATTTTGCTTATGAGTTTACAAGCCTTGCTGTTTGCTTGCAGACCTTTGACAGGCAAAAGGAATGAAATAATTATAATCTATTAAAGAAAGATGGGTGGCCATAAATCATGTATTAGATTAGCTAGGGCAAAGAGTGAAAACACTAGAAGGTAAAAAAAAAGATAAGATAAAGAAAAGGTGAAGTTCAGCTAGAGTTAGGGTGTAACTACACAGTGAGGAAAATGTGAATTCACTTGCATTCTCTCATTGTGAAATTGCACAAAAGTATCCAAGTTCAATGACTGGCTACACAGGCAGAAAGGAGTAGCACCTTGTTAGCAGGTTATTTGCAGTTCTATTTATAGCCCTGCAGGTGGCACCATTACAAAAGAATAACCTAATAAGTTGTAAACAAGGCTTTCCTTCCTTATTTCCTCATCTGCTTATCCATGTTTGGTTTAAAAAAAAAAACACTCTTGCCAACGGAGCGATTTGCTCGCTATCCTTAAGCTGTAAGAAAAATTGGCCCACCTCAGAATCTCTATTGTTATTATTGTTCTGATTCATCATTTCCAATTTTCTTAACTCAAACGCCATTTTCTCTCTCTCCAATTCCATTTCAAATCGTCTTTGTTTCTCTCTTTCCCTTTCCTCCATTTCAAATTGCCTTTGTTTCTCTTCCCTTTCTATTTCCCTCATCCTCAGTTCATGCTGTTGGGCTAGGACCATTTTTCTGAGTTCTGGGTTCTGTTCTCCCGTGCTCTCATCCTGCACTGAGCCAAATTCCTCCTCAGAACCTTGGTCTACCTGTGGGTCTCTTACTTCACCCAATTCTGCCATTTGGCTTCGAGTCAAGGGCATAATCCCCCCCCAGAACAGGCTGCCTTCAAAAGTCAAGCCTCAAAATAAAGCGACGACTTTTTTCCTTTTGCCTCAGGAACAGCCTTCTATAGATTGCTGCTGTTCCTTCAGCACTAACTTGCAACTGTTGCCAGGCAGAATCCACCCCCTCTGCTAGGCCTCTCAGCAGACAGGCTAGATCACTGTTACTTCACACAGCTTTGCCTCAGCTCTTTTCCCGCCAAAACTGGTTGCCTCAGAGCTCCCTAATCTAGTCCCCAATCTGAGTGTGCACGTTCTTCCACTAGCGTACCTCCCCGTGAGGTAAGCCTAGAAGATTACCTACGCGCCCTCAGATTTTCCCTGACTAGACCCCCCTTGCTCTGGGCACACTTGCCAAGGCTTTGCTGGACCACTGGACAACTGGACCAGTCGTATCCCACACGCTGGACACCAATCAATGTAACAACCCCAGACCTACTGGAGTATGCCACACTATAGTTAAGCTGCCACCAACCATTCCCTATAAGGAGTCACACAGACCAGGAATGGATTTTAATAAACAAAGGAATACGGTTTATTGAAATAACAAACAGGGTAAATAAAATAATCAGGTAAATAGGATAATGTAACGTGGCACAGTCCCAAAC